GTCCTGTAGTGATGTAGCAAACCACAAAATGCAGTGAGGGACCAGGAATACAACAATTCCACGAGTGTGCATTGAGTTTGCGTGTTCTGCCTATGCTTTTGTTAGTTTCCTACAGGTACTCCAGTTTCCTCCCACACTCCAAAGACATGCTGGTAAAATAATTGACTCAATTGTCTAAACTGGCTCTGGTATGTATATGTATGTATGTGAGATGAGAACCTTAGGCAGGCCATAGACGATGTGACTTTCTTTCCTGCAACCCAAAATCGACCCAAGTGTTGATGTGGGAATCCCTCCTGTGAAGCTATTGTGCTCTTCCAGCAAAGGGAGAGGTAAATTGGTGCGGGGAGCCATCCCTACTGGGACAACACAGTGATTATTGCTAGTGGCTATAGCCACTGGAAATAATTGCATGTAACAATCCAACATGCTGGTTGTACCCAAATCATACAACAAACAAATTGGGTCTAATCAACTTGCCCATAGATTGTCCCTGCTGAACTGGCCGAGATTCAGCTATAGCTGGCTTTAGATTGTAAACTTCTGAAGGCAGGGCCTTATGAGAATAGTATGTGAAGCACTATGTGCATTGATGGCATTGTATATTATCAATACTTGTAATAAACAGAGTGTGATCAATGCTGAAGAATCTTCAGGCACCAAAGCTCTTTAGGAAAACAAAGATCTGAGACATAGGCATTTTTGGGGGGTTTTTTGTTTTTTTAACAGTTATTTTTAGGAGTTTGTGGAGATAGAGCTTGGTGCAGTTGGGTTTTGCGGTTAATTTTCTCTTTTTATTTTACTTACTTTACTTGTTTTGCTCAGGAAGGGCTAGTTCAGGCAAGGGAGGATTACATAAGAGACATCAGTGGTATTTCCTTTGTAAAAACACAGTGTGTTCGTTGTACTATTAGATCTAGCGTACAGGGGATTTGAGATCAGTTAAGGTCAGTTTGTATTCGTGTTTCTTCTTCTATACAAATCTAATGTAAATGCATAGCAAAAACAGTAAAAGGCAATAAAGACTGAAAATTCACTTCAGAGCTACTGTCAGTGGGGTTTCAGCTGAATTAAATCTATGACAAAACCAGGGTAATTCAAACTAAATATAGGACCAAGAAATGCATCATCAGAGGTTACCATAAAGTGGTTGAAAAGGCAGGTTTTTAACCCTACTGCATTTTATGCATAAAGGTAAAAACTTTCTGCATGCAGCTTTCCTGCAGCCCCCCCCCCCCCCCCTTCCCCAAATACATACTTTAGCCCAGCTGACTTCAGCTGTGTCATGTGATCAGCTGTGTCCAATCACAGCTGTTCAAATGTAAAATAAGGAAATGCCGGTTATTGGCATTTCTCTCCTCACGAGCTGTCACACTGACAACTCATGAGGAGAGGAGAGACGGTAATCGGCATTTGTCAGAGGGAACATCTACACTGATCATCAGGGCACTAATGATCAGTGCCCTGATGATCAGTGTAGCCACATCAGTGCCAACTGTCAGTGTCCATCAATGCCACCTTTCATTGCCCATCAATTCCACCTGTCAGTACCCATCAGTCCACATAAATGCCACATATCAGTGTCTACCAGTGCACATCAATGCCACATATCAGTGCCCATCTGAGCTGCCTTTCAGTGCCCACTATCAGTGCCAGTCAGTACCACTTATTGCCAGTCAGTGCCACCTATGAGTGCTGCCAATCAGTGCCACATATCAGTGCAGCATATCAGTGCCCATCAGTGCCGCCTACCAGTGCCAGTCAGTTCCGCCTGCCAGTGCCAGTCAGTTCCGCCTATCAGTGCCAGTCAGTTCCGCCTATCAGTGCCAGTCAGTTCCGCCTATCAGTGCCAGTCAGTTCCGCCTATCAGTGCCAGTCAGTTCCGCCTATCAGTGCCAGTTAGTGCTGCATATCAGTGCCCTTCAGTGCCACCTAACAGTGCCATTCATGCCACCTAACAGTGCCAGTCAGTGCTGCCTATCAGTGCCGCCCATCAGTGATGTCTGTGAATGCCCACCAGTGATGCCTGTCAATGCCCATCAGTGCCACCTACAAGTGACTCCTCACCAGTGCCCATCAGTGCAGCCTATCAGTGCCCATCAGTGTAGCCTTATTAGCGCACATCAGTGAAGGAGAAAAATTACTAATTTACAAAATTTTATAACAGAAACTAAGAAAAACATTTTTTTTTCAAACATTTTCAGTTTTTGGTTTATCAAAAAAAAAAAAATAAAAATAAAAACACCCAGTGGTAATTATATACCACCAAAAGAAAGCTTTATCTGTCTCAAAAAAATGATATACATTTCATATGGGTACAGTGTTGCATGACCGCATGAATTTTCATTCAAAGTGCGACAGTGCTGAAAACTGAAAATTGGCCTGGGCAGGAAGAGGGTGAAAGTGCCCTGTAGGCAAGTGGTTAAAAGGTTTTTTTTTTTGTACCCCAGAGATCAGTGAAAGCAGGGTGGAAGGGTGGAAGTTAAGAGAAGTAGGGTTCTTTTTGCCCAATTATACTTACCAAGGTGGATGCAGCATTGGTCCAAAACTGCATCTGTCCCCCACTGGCTCCAAGTGTGAGAACTCAGCGATCACATGTCCACTGATCGCTGAGTTCTCACCACCGCTCCGACCAGAGAGTGGTGACTGACAGGCTGAGCCAGGTGCCGCTCCAGACGCTGGGGTGGATTCTTACCTTAAAGTCAAGATCTTTCCCCAGCCTGGACCAGCTGAGTGGCGTCACCACTGATTGCCGAGTTTCTCACCACTGCTCCGAGAAGAGAGCGGTGACTGACAGTCACCACTCTCTGCTCTATGCACCCACAATCAAATCTAGTGTTGAGGGAGCAGGGGCCAAGGCCAAGCTGCATTGCGTGTGTCCATGAAACAAGGGACGTCTCGAGATCCAGACCATATATGTGCCAACATAGGAAGCAGCTTCCTATGGTGGCACACAGAGGAGAGGAGGAGCCCAGAGTACTTGGCAGAGGTGGATCCGGGTTGTTCTGTGCAAAGCCATTGCACAAGAGCAGGTAGGTATGACATGTTTGCTATTTACAACATTTTTTTTACTTTAAAATCCCTTTAATTTTAATCAAGAGCTGGTCTTAAAGTGGTTGTAAACTCTTACATATCCCCAGTGAAGTGACTAGCCTCAGATGATATGCAGAGATGGAACAAATCCTCTTACATAAGTTGTACCTGTTTATCTGTAGCCATGTATTATGTGCTGTCTCCTAAAAACACGCAGATTAAAGGAATTTTCTCAGCTGTAGCATGCAAGGGGCGGGGATTTGACCCACGTACACTGCAGACCTAGAGCACCCCAATATCTGATTATTGAGTGGAGGAGAAGGGACACACGCCCCTCAATACACTGAATAGAAAAACTGGAGGTGTTGGAGGAGGGACGGGCCATTTCCCTTGGACTATTTTGTCCATCTAAAGTCTTTTCAGTGACTCAAGCAGACAGCAGAGGGATCAGAGATCAAAGAGGAGCTGCACTCAGTGCTTTGGATTCAAGCTAACACATACTATAGTGGGATGTGCTTTTTTCCATTTTTCATGTCTGAGGTATACAATCACTTTAAAATACAGCATTAGGAGTTGCAAAGTTTCAGTCAATCCGCATACAAGCTTATGCACTTAAGACGAAAAACAATGCGTTGGCACATGTAGAAACCAATTGGAAATCAGCTATGACTGCTCCAACTGCAGTAAACAGAACTGACTGGGTTGCTTCACTTTGCACATCATTAGTGATCTCTGAACTGCTTTACTGAATGAACAGTTTCTTCAGTTAGTACAGAGTAACAGCCAACTGCAGTGACTGCTGAATCAAATGTTTCCTGCTAGACTTCTGTTGCCAAATGACCTTTGTACATACATAATTACTCATTGATCTTGCTAGAAATGTCACATGATCTGTGCTATTGCAACAAGTTGTAGCTCCAAATGTAAGCTGTAAAGCAACCCTCAGGATTTAAAGGTACAAAAAAAAAAGAAAAAATCCCTGCAAAATATAAAAATCCCTGTTAAAGGCGCACTATACTGTGACTATATGAGGTTCATAGCTGTAGTGATGGTATTCAGTATATGGAAGTCCTCATTTAGTCTGTCTTTATTTATGTTTTTTCCTCACATACAGGCCAAGCTATCAAGCTAAAAGTGACAAATCAGTGGATACTATTAGATGTGTGTAGAATAATCACATTTTTATTCATTTGATCTAGGCTCCATGCACACTAGTGTTCTTTAGAAGATCAAAAACTGCTGGATGAAAAACACTGATAATAGTGTTTTTGTGCCGGCTTTTAGCAGTGTTTAGGAGCATTTGCGTTATTAGTGTTTTTGCAGAACATATATAAAATTAAAAAATGCTCGAAAAAAAGCGGTTTAGCGATTTCTTCTGCCAGGAAACCGCTCCCAAAAACTCTACAAAAGAGAGTTTTTTTCTGCTCCTAAAAGCTGATGCTTGAAAAAGCTAGCATAAAATAGTGTGCATGGACACATAGGATAACATGATTAGCTTCTAGGAGCATAAAAAATTATCATAATAGCTTCTAGGAGCTTAAAAAATGCTAGTGTGCATGAAGCCTTAAACCTTTTTTCCCCAAAAGTAAACTGTGGCTGTAACGGCTGAAAAAAGTGTTAGCTGGAGCTGGGCTTTAATTGTTTTTTGCTCATCTAACCACTTGCTCTCCAGAGGATTTACCCCCCTTCCTGACCAGGCCTTTTTGTGCGTTATGGCGCTGCATTACTTTAACTGATAATTGAGCGGTCATGCAACGCTGCACCCAAATGAAATTTATGTCCTTTTTTCCCCACAAATGGAGCTTTCTTTCGGTGGTATTTGATCGCCTCTGCTGTTTTTTTTTTTTTTGCGCTATAAACAAAAAAAGACCAATTTTGAAAAAAAAAAAAACAATATTTTTGACTTTTTGCTAGAAAACGTATCCAATATGTTAAAGATCAAATTTCATCATAAATTTAGGCCAAAATGTATTCTGCTACATGTTCTTGCTAAAATAAAAATCCCAATACGTGTAAATTAATTGGTTTATGTGAAAGTTATAGCATCTACAAATGGCGGTATATATACTGGAATTTATTTATTTTATTTTTTATACTAGCAATGGCGGCGATCAGAGACCTATAGCAGAACTAACTGCCACTGACATCCCCAGTGACACTAATACAGTGATCAGTGTTAATAAAAAGCACTGACGCTCTACTAATGACACTGGGCAGGAAGGGGTTAACATCTGGAGCTATCAAAGGTTTAACTGTGTGCTGTGTGTGTTTCTCATTATGTGCTGTGTGCTGTTTTACTATGTAAGCATGCTGCTTTCTATTGCTCTGCTATGCACCTACCTACTCCATGCAATGATATTGCACAGAATGATCCCTTACCTCCTCTTCTGAGAGTCCCCTGTCAGCACTCTCTGCATCTCCTTCCTCCGGGTGCCTCCTTAGCAAGCTAAGTTCTAAGGAGACACCCATACATAGACACACACAGTGCCCTCTCCACAAGAGTTTGGCAGCAGTAGGAGCCTATTGTTCTGCTGTCCTCAGTTTCTCCTGTGAAAGCAGAAAGTAAGGGGAGCGGTGCTGGAGCGGTGACAGGAGCCAGGTAAGTATTTAGGGATGGGGGTGAGTAGGATAAGTAGTGGGGATTTTTTTTACCTTAATGCAAAGAATGCATTATGTTAAAAAAAACCTTTAAACTTTAGAACCACTTTAAAAGTGCATCTAATACTATTATATTATTATTACACAGGATTTATATAGCGCCAACAGTTTGCTCAGCGCTTTACAATATAACAGGAGACAATACAGTAACAATACAGTTCAATACAAGAGGGATAGGAGGGTCCTGCTCCTTGGAGCTTACAATCTAATACAGTACATTTCCATGTTAGGCCAACAGGGTGGCAATGAAGCATACTGTCACCCTATTACAGGGAGTTGGAAATCAGTGGATCTCCTGACAGTATTAACAGGTAATAAAAATGGGGTTTCAGGTGGGACTTGCAATAACATATCGGCTTTTGCTTTTCTAATTGGCAGACTGCAGGACATATGACAGTTTTGCTTTTGCCCATAGTTCTATGTTAGTATTCACGTGTCCCACCACCCATTCCTTCAGTCTTTGCTGTGTTCAAGAGCGTCGGCTTGCAACATCCACATCCAACATTTCCGGGAGTGTCAGATTCCTACGCCCCTCATTGCATGCTGTGCTTGCATTTGCGGACCCCCATGTCAGGAAAAGTCGTGATGTAGAGGTCAGCAGGAGGTACCATAGAAATTAGCAGGAGACAAGGCATCAAACACATTCAGAAATGTTTTGGAGGCAGAAGGATGTAGGTGTTACAGTGCTAACTATTCAAACAGAACAAAAGTGGTAAGTGGTGAGTATTAAATCTTACTTCTGCAGGGTGAAATTGTTCCTTTTTTTTTTTTAAAGACCATTAGAGACTTAAAAGCAGGGGTCTCCAAACTTTCTAAACAAAGGGCCAGTTTACTGTCCTTCAGGCTTTAGGGAAGCTGGACTGTGGCCATTGTAAGTAGAAATTGTTCTGGTATCAGTAGGAGTGCATAGTGCATCTTTGACTTAAAGCGGTAGTAAATCAAAGTTTAAAAAAAAAAAAAAAAAAAAAAAAACAACTTACCTTAAAGCGAAACCCTCCACTCCGCTCTACAGGCTTCCATCTTCACCCGGTCTTCCTTCCAGGTTCGCGAGCTCCGGCCCATCTGACTGGCCAAGCCACAATGACGTCACTCCCGCACATGGAAGTCTTGGTACATGGCACAGTGCTCTAAAGGAATGGCACGGGTATGCCGTTCTTTCAGAGCGCATGGCTGGCTGTGAAAAAGAGCGAATATCTCCTAAACGGTGCACATTTAGGAGATGTTTTATTTTACCTACAGGTAAGCTTTATTATAAGCGTACCTGTAGGTAAAGATACAAATGTGGGTTTACTACCACTTTAAGGGGGAGAAATAGTGCCCCATCAATTGTGTCAGTGGGAGGAATAGTGCCCCATCACTGGTGTCAGTAGAAGGAATAGTGCCCCATCACTGGTGTCAGTGGAAGGAATAGTGCCCCATCACTGGTGTCAGTGGAAGGAATAGTGCCCCATCACTGGTGTCAGTGGAAGCAATAAACGCCCCACCCTTGGTGTCAGTGGGAGGTGTCAAGGGAAAAATAATGCCCTGTTATTGATATAACAGGAATTATGACCCATTGTAGGTATCTGTGGGAGGAATAGTGGCTTGCATCAGTGGGAGGGGAAAGTGATCCAAGGGCCAGATAAAGACAAGCAAAGGGCCACACCTGGCCCCCAGGCTGCAGTTTGGAGACCACTGCTTTAAAGAGTCTCCTGATGCTATTGCACTGTTCCTATATTTATTTATCCTGATGTTTACTGTTCCTATATTTATTTATCCTGATGTTATTATACTGTTCCTATATTTATTTATCCTGTTATTATACTGTTTCTATATTTATTTATCCTGATGGTATTATACTGTTCCTATATTTATTTATCCTGATGGTATTATACTGTTCCTATATTTTATTTATCCTGATGTTATTATACTGTTCCTATATTTATTTATCCTGATGGTATTATACTGTTCCTATATTTATTTATCCTGATGGTATTATACTGTTCCTATATTTATTTATCCTGATGTTATTATACTGTTCCTATATTTATTTATCCTGATGGTATTATACTGTTCCTATATTTATTTATCCTGATGGTATTATACTGTTCCTATATTTATTTATCCTGATGGTATTATACTGTTCCTATATTTATTTATCCTGATGGTATTATACTGTTCCTATATTTATTTATCCTGATGTTATTATACTGTTCCTATATTTATTTATCCTGATGTTATTATACTGTTCCTATATTTATTTATCCTGATGTTATTATACTGTTCCTATATTTATTTATCCTGATGTTATTATACTGTTCCTATATTTATTTATCCTGATGGTATTATACTGTTCCTATATTTATTTATCCTGATGTTATTATACTGTTCCTATATTTATTTATCCTGATGGTATTATACTGTTCCTATATTTATTTATCCTGATGGTATTATACTGTTCCTATATTTATTTATCCTGATGGTATTATACTGTTCCTATATTTATTTATCCTGATGTTATTATACTGTTCCTATATTTAAAAAGCTCCTAAGTTCCAAGAATGATTAGTTATCATTCTACGGGGGATCCCATTTCTTTACTGCATGTAATCTTCCTCTTTTATATTTGATTGATATTTCTTATTGCTCTATGTCGATATATTGGCAATCAACATAAATTACAGTACAATTAATTTAGTTATCTATTGACCTAAAATGATAACCCAACCAAACCCAAAAAAGAGACTAACCAATACTGTTAAAGCTGAATTCCAGGGCCGGATATAAAGAAAAGCCACACAGGGTGTTGTCTAGGGGTCACAGCCCACTGGGTCCGAGCCTGCCCTTCTGCCAACATCTGACTTTCAACATGTAAAGGACATAACTTGTAGCAGAAGTCTCTCTCATGCACAGGGAAGTGTCTTCTACATCTTGGTGACACCCATTAAAGCAGACAGGACAGCTTACTCTGTGGTTCTCCCGTTCAGAACCAGAGTTATGTTTGCAGGTTTACTCTGCAACATCTGATACAGTAGAAATCAGAAGTTGGTAGCATGTAAAGGGCAACAATAACAAGTACTTTACTATGCCAGCAATGAACAGCAGCCGTATGCGTCCTGAGAAGCATTCATTAAGGCCCAGGAGGACCAAGCCAGACAGGGTGGTAGAGGGGTGATCTTTGCATTCCAGGACTTGTCACTGCATCTTGGGTGGCATAAACTACTGATCAAGCTGCCCAACAGGAATAGTATCATTTCCAGTCAACATGGAGGAAGGAACCAGTGTAGGAACATGAACATATGAAGGGATATTTTTCCAAGCTCCCACTCTCTTTATTCATATGCATTCCTGCACAGCTTCCTTCCTCTCCACTGGGCAGGAACTACACTCTGTATTTTTGCAACCACTGCACATCTACGGAGAGGGGTTTTTTTGTATTTTTGCAACAACTCTACATCTATGGAAATGAGGTTACTTATTGCTGACACCGAACATAACGAAGGGGGAGTTCTTTATTGGTGACCAGATCACTACCATCAATAAAGGGGTTGGGGGGATGTATTATTGATTTTACTGACAGTCAAAGAGAGTGTATTATTGCTTCCTTTCCTCTGAGCTGAACGCCATTTCCCAGAAGCCCTTGTGTCGCTGTGTCTGTGGCACAAGCTGGTGTTAGAGGGGACTCAGCAGCAATACGCAGGTGAGCAGAGGGGCCCCTAAAGATGGAGGTTCCTGAAAGGGGGTTGCCCCTGTTACATGCATGTCTTTTTCCAGCTTTATTATTAGTCCTCATGCACACTGGATGTTTTTACAGCTGCTGTTTTTGGCTTTTGATGTTTTTTTCTACAGCCAATCAACTCCCCAGCATGTTATCCTATGTGTCCATGTACACATAGACTGTAATCAACATTTTGTGGCTGGAAAAAAAAAAAAAAACAAAAAAACCGGACTGGTGGGTTTCTAGAGTTTTTTTTAGCTGTAAAAACACTCTTAACGCTGAAAAACGCAGCAAACCGCGATAAATCACAGCAAACCCGCATTTTTGGACCTTTTTTTTAGCAAAAAAGATTTTTTTTTGGTCAAATAAAACTCTAAAAAAAAACACTTAACCCTAATACAAAAGCGCTAAAAAAAACTGTTTTTAACGTGATTTTACACCTTATACAGTTGTGTTCAGAATAATAGCAGTCAGACATCACTAACCTGATCAATCACTGTTTTTGGTAGAAATGATATTTCTACATGGCAAATAATTTACTAGCAGGTGTAGTAGAGTAATAGAAATCCAACAGACCCAACAGTCATGACATGCATGCTGCTGATTCTGTGTCATTGAATCACTAATTGAAAGGGGCATGTTCAAAATAATAGCAGTGTGGAGTTCTATTAGTGAGGTCATTCATTCTTTGAAAAACAGGTGGCAATTATTGCCGTTATTTAAGGAAGGAAGGCAGCAAATGTTGTACATGCTGGTTACAGTGCATTTCTCTCTGAAATTCTGAGGAAAATGGGTCG